TTCCCCCCGCCCCTGCCGCTGCTACCACCTCGGTTGGAGACCCACGAGGCCGCCGCGTCCTGCCCTCGGAACAATGGGAGTCGGCGCGCGAGGTGCCCGGGCCGCGCTGCTCCTGGGGGCGCTGCAGGTGCTGGCGCTGATGGGGGCCGCCGTGGGCGACTCAGCCTCGACGTCGGGTAAGTGACTGCCAGGGTCGCCAGCCCGGGTCCCCGAGGCAGTGCGCTGCCGGGGCGTTGGTTTCCAAGTTGGGATCTCGTGCGGAAAGTTCTGCGTGTCTCTGGCAGAACACGCACCCCTGACCTGGGGGAGGCCGGACGGGGCTGAAGGGGAAACTGAGGCGCCCACTGGTCCTGAGGCCGCCTGGCGAGGAATTTGACCCGCCTTCCACTGTTTTTGTGGCAGTGGCGGCCGCAGGCCAGGAGGGGTGCGTATAACCTGTTGAGTTACCCCCAAGAACGGGCCTTCAGAGGAGGGCGCCCGCTCGGTTTTATTGCTTTTACCGGAGTTACTGTTTCCTGTAGGTTTGCGTTTATCTAAGGCTTTCGATTGAAACATTAGGGGGTGAAAAATATGTCTACCATTGCCTGCAGAAACATGTCTACCGATTAGTTAGGAAAGCTTTCAGGCGTCTCCCCCGGCGCTTCATCGCCTAATTGTGTAGAACCCAAATGCCTTTCGGTCTTCAGGTCCCGCGGCGCTTCTAGTTGGACTTCCGAGTGTGAGTAGCTAGTGGGGAGCTCTGGGAAGCGCGCCCCGCTGTCCCGGCGCAGGTGAGGCTTCCGCCCCAGTGGAGTGGCGCGCCCCGCCCCCCGCTCGTGTGCGGTAAACACCTGGCCCGGGTGCGCGTCAGCTGCACGACCGTCAGGTCAGAACCAAATGATGTTGACATTTGTCTTCTGTGCAAAGGGGGATTTGTTTCTCTTACGCCCTCGGCCCTTTGGAGACTTTAAAATCCTTTTTGGATGAGGCCAGGCAGCTGGGATTTGCTGCGTAAATTGTTTTCCTTTGTCAGTTATTATAGAAGTTGAGTCACTGAGTGATGGTTAGTAAACCGGGATTAGTTAACTTTAAGTGACCCAAGCTTTTCGTGGTGTTAAATTCTACCCATCTGCTGGATGTTGAGCCTTAGATTAGTTGTATCCAGCAAGAGATAATGAGGGCAATTTGCAAAACCAGACGGTTCAGGCCCAACACCTGCTTTTGCTAGAATAAACTGGGCGGATTAAAAATTGTATCTCTGAATTTTTTGTTTGCTGAATTGCACTTGTGACAAACGGCTTTTCAGACCTAATTTTGAGATTAAGGAAAGAATGATCAGTAAAATCATGTCTATTATATTTTCAATATTGTAATATGTCTTGCTGTTAAAGTGAGCAGTCTGAATTTAAACAATATACGTTGGTACTAATTTTATGCCACTCTATGAGAGGAGGTCTCCATTTGTTTTTGTTCTGTTTGTGAAAGAAACCTTTTACTTAACTGTTTTGCTAATGAATTACTGATTAGAGAAACTGTGAGTGCCCTTGCTTTTTTCTTTTGCCCTCATAACACAGATTTTTTTTTTCGGTTTGTCCTATTTTAACACTCACTGTTTGTTCTGTTTATTACTTAATGTCTCACTAGAGGTTAGTGCTATTTGGAAAAGTCAGACTGCTCTACTATAGAAGAGCCCTGATTTCATGAACTAGTATAGTCAACCTGAGCTGGAATTCCTTTTTATAGACCATAATGTTACCTTGAAGCTAGCCTAAAAGATCTACAGTGGATTTTTCAAAAGAGCAAATAAATTTTGCCTTGGTCTTCATATGTGTGTGTGTGTATACGTATATATACACATATGTACACATGTGTATATATACACACATACACATACACACACATAGTATGTAACCTATACAAAGTGTTATGAAGTATAGTGATTTTTGAAAATAATTATTTAATTTTATTGATTTACTGTTAATTTTTCATTTGACCGGAGAGAGACACAGAGATAGCAAGAAAGCAAGCCACCAGGTCCAGGACTCAAACCACAGTCAACCACGAGAGCATCCAGCATCTTTTTTTTTTTTTTTTTTTGAGAGGTTTTTGCTATAGGGCACGTGCACTCGCCAGACAGAGAGAGACAGAAAGTGAGAAATCACCCCCCCAGGGGGCATGGCCACACCGCAATCCCTTCTCCTCTCGGGATCTTGGGCACGCATGCACACGCGCCCAGCATGAGTTTTAAGCCACCGGGTCCAGGCTGTGAACCACAGTCAACTATGTGGGAGTCCAGCGACATAGCCATTACGCTAACTGCTGGTCCCGGGAGTCCAGCATCTTAACCACCACGCCACCTGCTGGCCCCAGTATAGTGATTTTTAGCAGTCATGAGCACAGTATAGCCCATTTTCATGACTATTAAAATTAGCATGGTATAGCTCATTTTTAGTAGGCATATTTTTTATGCGCCTATTTGCCTATACTAGTTGAAGTTCATGAATCATCCCATTGGATCGTCACAGTATTATTCCCATATAATAGATGAATCGACGGAGACTCAGAAGTTAGCTAACATATTCAAAGTAAAGCAACCAATAACCTGTTTGATTTCAGAGATCAGAATCCAAAGTCAACCATTTCACCACCAAGCCACATTAGGTAATGTTGACTAATAAAGTGGGCAGTGCTTTTATTCCCTAATACTGCCGCTGCCTAGAAGATTGTGGGAGCAGGTAAAAGCATCATTGAAATTCTGCTTTCAAAATACTCTTCACGGTCTACTGCATAGTTTTGTAAACACCCTCAGTTGGAGGAGGTAGGGAGACTCTGAACAGGTTAGCAAATCAGCAAACAGGAAGGGGCTGGCACATAACAAGTATTGTACTATGTGAGTATGTGTTACATAAGCTAGATGTTTTCTGTCTTGAAAAATTCAATAATACAGTCCCATATTTACTGACAGCTTAAAGGTATGTTTCATAGCAACAGGGGCAAATGTGGAACATCCTGTGGAATAATCTCCCCTCCCCTGCACACTCCCCTGCTGCAGGCAGAAAGGAACATAACTGCAGTGTTCTTAGCTAAATATTAAAACCTCGATAACAGACGGTTTCTTTATTTTTCAGTCCCTCCAACCACAAAGAATCCTGTGTCTCCACACAACTCCAGTGCTAACTCAACAGGTGAGTTTGAAAAGGTTTAAGGAAGGGATTTTCATTTGTCGAGGATACATGAATTGATAACAGCCAGGGCAGTATGTGCCAGCTAGTAACAGTGGCCTATGCTGAACACGAGTTATTCGTCCCTGAATCCCTGTACCTGGGCTGAAGGGCTGTCCATCGTAGGCATCAGTACATCATAGTTCATGGATTGTCTTTCTTAAACTAGCAAAAGTGTGAATAAATTCTGAAAACAGGAGTGTATATTGGAATTCTAAGCTGATTTATGAAGCACATTTTTAGGTGTGAAGGTTTTATGTTCTGCCTATAGCTGTGAAATATGAAGATGTACATCTGTAGGTCTTGCTGATAAAAAACAAGGCGCTCTAAACTGGTCAGCCCTGGCAGCCTTAATATGCCTGGACTGGCTACGAAGGAGACCATACTTGTGTTTCAGCCATCAGTCAGACTTCAACCTTCCCCCTTACTCCTCTTGAAATAGTTGGTGAGGCCCTTTCCCTGTGCTTTTAGTTTGGGACAGATGGATTCCTTCCTTGGGACCTGAGTTCCCTAGCATGGGGAGATCTAGGAACCAGGTTGATGTCATAAATACTGGTAGGAAACTATCGAGGCAGGTTCTTTGCAAGCAGTCCGTAGGTTGTCTTCTCACTACCCTTACTCTTCAGGATTGACTGAGGTGAGAACTTGGAGAAAGGTACATAGATCCTGTCAGTAATCTATCTTCTTTGATTCAGTAAATACTGAGTGTGTCTAATGTGCTGACATTTCAGATGCTAAGGATCAAAATGGACAGGCCCTGATTTCTTGGAGTTTTTGTTTGTTTGGGTTTTTTGTTTTGTATTATTGAGGCAAAGTGTCTGTAACATCAAATGTATGATTTAATCTTATTTATTTACTTCTTCAATGAGCAAGCAAGCAAGAGAGAGAAAGACAGCACCCCCTGTAGGGTCGTGAGGCCACAATCCACACCCAGTCTTAGCCAGCTCTGGGTCATGGGCGTGTGGGTAGCTTGGATACTCAGGGAGGTCTCCAAAGGCGAACCTGGAATCTTCCCATGTCACACCATTGTCCGGCCCCTGATTTAACCAGTTTTTTAAATGTATAGTTCATTGGTATCAAGCATTCACATCGTTGGAAACTTGGTGGAGTTTTATTCTTAGAGACATCCTAGTGCCCCATTTAGTTCATGTTCTTGGTTTACCTCTGTGCTCTGTTTTCACTACCTCTGCCTTTCATGCTGGTGTCTGGTGGTGCAGGGTCAGGATATACTTTTTTTCTGGTTTTAATAATTTTACATAAAAACTTTCATTGTGGGGAGAAGACTAGATTACTACAAAATGAAACATGATTATCATCAAATGGTTGTGGGACTTTTCTAAAAAAATAAACTATTGTATTAGCCTATTAGCTGTCTTTTTTTCTGTTACCCTTTCTTGAGTCAAATTCTGCTCTACTGAACTATTTAACTTCGGGTAAACCAAGAAAGTAGAGGAAAGGTAAAGCTAATGGTAAGAGTACTAGCACTAGCCAGCACTTACTGAATGCTTACAACTTAATAATGCACTTCTCAGATATGTCATCATCTAGCGGTGATGAGGTAGGTATCATTTTTGTTCTCCACATGGGGAAATTGAAACTTGGGGTGGTTAAGAAATGCCCAAGGTCACGTGGCAGTGTGTGCACATTCAGGATTTCAAACTAAGTTTCTTGGATTCTGACACCTGTTCCCTTTTGTCACACTTACCGAAACTGCTGTGGCCTTTTAAAAATGCTTGTCACTGAAGAAATCCCACTATTGGCATCAGCTGCCAATACAGTACTTTGAGGGCAGCTCTGGAGTCAGTGGGATCACTTCAGATGCCCCTTTTAGCACAGGGAAACTTAGTGGGGGGAAAAAGGAAAGCATCATCTTAAATTTGTGGGGTGGGGGGTAAAGAGAGAGACCAAATAATACAACTTTTAAAAAAAATGGTATTTGGTCAGTGTGTGAGGACTTCTCACGACTGTTATATTTCTGTTAAATCTTCTTTGAATCCTAAAATTTCTTGAAACATGTTGAGTTTTTATAGGGCATGATACTTAATTTTTTTTAAATAGTAATACAGACAAGCCTAAATGGTTGAAATACTGGTTTTTTGAACATAGTGTTTACAGATTGACTCAGTTCAGTTTGTTTGTGGTGCCAGTCCCAGTAGGAAGAGAGCATCTTTCTTTGGCAAACCTCCTCATGAGTATAATCCAGGCATATCTTGTTGGAAGAG